AAAAAAAAAAAAAAAAAAAAAAAAAAAAAAAAAAAAAAAAAAAAAAAAAAATCAGATTTTTTGTGCCTGTTATGGTAGAAAAAGAAGGAGAAAAATCCCTTCCAGGGAGGCTGCAACAGGTCTGAGCCCCCAAATATTCCATGGGAGAGGAATTCCTGCTGTGTGCACCAGAGAATCCACGGAGGAGCCACAGGAAAGCCCAGAGTGACTTTTTCTACCCAATTCTCAATTTTTACGTGCAGTGGGAATGGATTTCCTGCTCCGGGGAGTCGACTGCAGCCTTCAAAAAATCCTGGAGGTGCTTAAAAAAACCGAAAATTCTGTTAAAAACGGGGCTGTGGTGGCTTCGTTCGGCGCCTCACGGGAAGGATTTTGCAGCTGGGAAACAAAACTGGCATCAGAAGTTAAAATTTTCTTACAAAAAAGAATCAATTGTGTTTGAAAAATAAAGGGCAAAAACTTATCTGTGGAGTGAGACTCCAGCTTCCAACCAAATTCTTTTTCAAAAAGGTGAAATATATTTTTAAAAAAATATTTTCAAGTATTTTGGTGCGTCTCATTTGTTAAAAAAAAAAAATCCCTGCATTTTACATGAGCAAAAAAAAAACTTTTAAATGAGCCAAAAACCCTTAAAATGAGGAAAATGTCATCCTGATGACCCTTCTGACCCATTTTTTTGGGGGGGAATCCCCCAAAATCCATGCATGGTGTTTTTTTCCTGGTACAATCCAGCAGGATGGAGCTTGGGAGGTCCCTCCATCCCCCTCTGGGGACCCCCACCCTGGGCCACACAAAGGGTTTTGATTCATTTTTTTTTTATTTTTAAATTTCTTTCTTTGTTTTTTTTTTGTTGTTTTGTTTTTTTGGGTTTTTTTTTATACAAAATCTCCTCCCTCCTCCGCGGCCGGAGCCGTCCCCACCCCCAGCTCAGCCGGGGCTGTGTCCCCTCTGTCCCCAGAGCCCCGGGACAGCGCCTGGTCCTGCTGGGAAACCCTCGGGGTGCAGGGAAGGCTCTGGGGAAATGGGAAAAGGGAATTCGGGGAGGAAGCCTCGGCCTGGAGGCTCTGCACATGCCCCCAGGACAGGGAATTTGGGATTTTGGGATCCCCGGGGAGCCGCGGCTGGGGAGGGGCTCAGGGGCTGCACCCACACCCAGCCGGGGCCCCGGGGTGCTGCCAGGGGCTCGAGGCACCTCGGGAAGAGGGGGAAGGTTCCCAAAATTCCCCCGGGAAGAGGAGTCGGGTTCACATTAGCGCTGGCAGGGTCCATAGTGCAAATCAGCGAGGGCAGGAGGGACCCCCGGGCACTGCCCGCGCCCCGGCCTCGCTCTGCCCTCGCCGGGGGTGCCCCAAACCTTCCTCGGGGGGCTCCAAATCTTCCTGGGATCCCCAAATCTTCCTTGGGGGGCTCCAAACCTTCCTCGGGGGGCTCCAAACCTTCCTGGGATGCCCCAAACCTTCCTCGGGGGGCTCCAAATCTTCCTCGGGGGGCTCCAAAGCCTCCTTGGGTGGCTCCAAATCTTCCTCAGGGAGCTCCAAACCTTCCTGGGATGCCCCAAACCTTCCTCAGGGGGCTCCAAATCCTCCTTGGGGAGGCTCCAAACCTTCCTGGGGATGCTCCACATCTTCCTTGAGAAGCCCCAAATCTTCCTGGGGAGCTCCAAACCTTGCTGGGGATGCTCCGAGCCCTCCCGAGCTCCCGGCCCCGTCACTGCTGCTCCATCCCCGTGCCCCAGCAGGGCGAGGGGAGCCAGGGAACCTCTGGAGAAGGTGCAGAGATCCAGTCCCACCCAGCAAACCCCGGGATGCTCCTCGCAGGCTCTGGGAGCCGTTCCCAGGGTGGTCCGAGCGTCCATCCCAACGTCCGGCCCTTCCCGCTGAGGAGGGTCCCGGGATCGGGGGGTCAGTGCCGCAGGGCTGGGGGGGTTCCACCCCACTCGAGGGGTCCCAAAACGGGGGGGAGGGGGCTGCAGGCACGGTCCGGGCTCGGGCTGTCCGTGGTCCCATCCATTGGATGCGGGAATGTCCCTTCCAAGAGTCCTGGCCCGCCCAGGGCCTCGGGAGCGAGGGGGACAAACGGGGATCGGGATCTTCGGGGGCTCCGGCCACGCCTGGGGACCGTCCCCAAGTGTCACTGGGTCATGGGCTCCTCCTGCTCCATCGGCTCCTCCTGTGCCCTGCGGACACGGCAGAGGCCCGCGGGTCACATCCCGCTCCTGCGGGGACCCTGAGAAGGGAGGGGACAGGAGGGGACCCTGCAGCAGAGCCGACACCCCCCACCCCCAGGCGGGAGGGTTTGGTTGGGATTCACCCAGGAAGAGCCCAGCACGGGGTTCCCAGGAGGATTTGGTTGGGATTCACCCAGGAAGAGCCCAGCACGGGGTTCCCAGGAGGATTTAGTCTGATTTCCATTTGGGAAGTGCCCAGCACGGGGTTCCCAAGAGGATTTGGTTTGGTTTCCATTTCGGAAGAGCCCAGCACGGGGTTTGGTCTGGGTTTCACTCAGGAAAAGCCCAGCACAGGGTTCCCAGGAGGATTTGGTCTGATTTCCATTTGGGACCAGCCCAGCACGGGGATCCCACGGGGAGCCCAGAACCTCCTCCAGGGTGGGGGACACTGCCCTGCCCGCTGCCACCCCCTGGCACAGGGGAATCCCGGGAATGTCACCTCTTCTCCACCATCACGGCCACCGAGAGCGACGCCAGGGCCGTCACCGTCTCCACCTCGTCGGCCTCGTGGTGCTGGGCCTCGAGGAAGGAGCAGCCCAGCTTGGAGGCGAAGCGCTGCACGGCCACCCAGTATTTACCTGCGGGAGGGACAGCGGGGCTGGGGACACCGGCAAGGCTGGCCCGGGACAGTGGCCCGGGACAGGGTGGCCCGGGACAGGGTGGCCCGGGACAGGGATAACCCAGGACAGGGATAGCCAAGGGCAGGGATAACCTGGGACAGGGATAACCATGGACAGGGATAACCCGGGACAGGGATAGCCCAGGACAGGGATAACCCGGGAGAGGGATAGCCCAGGACAGGGATAACCCGGGACAGGGATAACCACGGACAGGGATAGCCCGGGACAGGGATAACCTGGGACAGGGATAGCCCGGGAGAGGGATAGCCCGGGACAGGGATAACCCGGGACAGGGATAGCCCGGGACAGGGATAACCCGGGACAGGGATAGCCCGGGACAGGGATAGCCCGGGACAGGGATAACCCGGGACAGGGATAGCCCGGGACAGGGATAACCCGGGACAGGGATAGCCCGGGACAGGGATAACCCGGGACAGGGATAGCCCAGGACAGGGATAACCCGGGACAGGGATAACCTGGGACAGGGATAACCCGGGACAGGGATAGCCCGGGACAGGGATAACCCGGGACAGGGATAGCCCGGGACAGGGATAACCCGGGACAGGGATAACCACGGACAGGGATAACCCGGGACAGGGATAACCCGGGACAGGGATAACCCGGGACAGGGATAGCCCAGGCTGGCACTCACTCTGGACCTGGATCACGGCCTCCAGCGAGCGCACGGCGTTGGCGTTGGGCTTCTGCCTTAGGCTGTCCTCGGGGAGCGGCTCCGGCTGGAGGGGACACGGGGGGACACGGGGGGACACGGGGGGAAGGTCATGGGGTGGTGGCACCAGGGGACACGGGGGGACACAGGGGTTCATAGGGGGTGGTGGCACTGGGGGACACGGGGAGCTCACAGGGGGCTGTGCCAGGGCTGGGGTGGTGGCACTGGGGGGAACGAGCAGGGCATGGGGGTGGTGGCACCAGGGAACACAGGGGGGACATGGGGGTTGGTGGCACTGGGGGACACAGGGGGGACATGGGGGGCTCTGCCTGGGCTGTGGTGGTGGCACTGGGGACACGTGGCATCCAGCTGTGCCCAGTGAGGTGGCACTGGGGACACGTGGCATCCAGCCGTGCCCAGTGAGGTGGCACTGGGGACACGTGGCATCCAGCCGTGCCCGGGCCGGGGCAGAGGCACAGGTGCCAGTCTCACCTCGTGGCCCAGCAGGGCGGACACGCAGGCCTCGGAGGCGTCACAAATGGCCGTGAGGTCGTGGCCCCCCTCCAGCGCCAGCACCACGGCCCCCCCGGCCAGGCTCATCAGCTGCTTGGTCATGTAGCCAAAACCTGGGGGACACCCCGGGAACGTCACCTACCCCTGCCCAAAGCCAACCCCAAAACTCTCCTGAGGCTCCCCCAGGAGGGGCTGCTCCTTCCTGGGGGTCCCAGCTCGGGTGGGAGGGGAACATCCCACCCCAAACGGGGACATCCCACCCCAAATGGGGACATCCCACCCCAAACGGGGACATCCCACCCCAAAGGGGGACATCCCACCCCAAACAGGGATACCCCACCCCAAAGGGGGACATCCCACCCCAAACGGGGACATCCCACCCCAAAGGGGGACATCCCACCCCAAAGGGGGACATCCCACCCCAAACAGGGACACCCCACCCCAAGCCACCTCCTTACACTTGGCAGAGACTTTGTAGCCCCCCAGGGGGGGCGGGTGGCCCTCGGCTGCGTCGAAGCCGGCCGACACCAGCACCACGTCGGGGCAGAACTCGTGGGCGATGGGCATCACCACGGTCCTGGGGGAAAGGGTGGGGAGTGGGGTCAGCCCAAAATGGGGTAAAAAGGGGATGAAGAACGGCATCAGCCCCACCCAGAGAGGGCACACGGGCACGGGGGCAGTACCTGAAGGCAGCCAGGTACTCGGGGTCCCCCATGGGCGGGTCGAGCCCTCCAGCCCAGGCCACGTTGACGTTGAAGCCCTCGCCGGGGCCAGCGCCCACCTGTGAGGGAGAAAGGGCAGGGTGAGGCTCTGGGGGAACCAGGTGGGGGTCCCAGCCCCCCGTTCTGTGCCACAGGAGGGTGTCTGGGGGTCCCAGCCCCCCGTTCTGTGCCACAGGAGGGTGTCTGGGGGTCCCAGC